AAGTAACTTCTTGCAATCGCATGTGGGGAGGCCTTGCAGGGTGTCAGGAGGATAATTGCTCGTTTGCTCTACCACAGAGCACCATCTGCTCTTGAAGTAATGCCTAAGGATGTGAGAGTACACCGGGGTCGGGTAAGCAGGCAGGGCAGCACGGCAAAGATTTCTCCCTGCCTGTTTTATTATCGTTTGTTTTATGGTTGCTTGCCCTGGGTCCAGCTGTGCTCAAAGCCCCATTGTGCCAAGTAGTGTCCATAGAGGGAGTCCTTCCCATGCTGAGCTGCCGGTCTCATCGGGGAAAAACAAAGATGAAGTGGCCTTTATGCTTATGTCAGAATAGTGTCTGTGTCTGGAGCATTGCCTGGTGCACTTTCCACCAAACAGCTGTATAATGGTTTTCTGTTTTGAGGAGGTGAGAAAAAAAAGGGAAACCTCCTAGTTTCCCTCACTTCCGTGGTAAAAATAGCAAAAGGGGGGGAGGTGGGGGAGAGGAAAAGGTAAATGTAGCTGCCAAAAATGTGTCTGGGTCCAGGCAAGAAAGTTTTCATGAGGAGCTCATCTGTCCTAGAAAGAATCACCAGGTGCAAAAAAAAACTCTACCTGGGTCCAGAACTGAGAAATGCATTATTAGTGTTCTGCCCCAGCTCAGCTCCAGGCAAAGTTATTTCTAAGTGTCTAGTTTGGTGAGAGAAGTGGGACTGGGCTTCAGTGTTGACTGAATAGGAATAGGAAGTCTTCTTTAATAATCTTCAAGTGTGAGGACTGGAAGTTTCCTCCAGCTGCATCCACAGGCACCAACCAGCTCAGCACACCAGGCTTCTCCCTGTCCTGTCTGGGGGGGGGTCTGTATCCATTCTGGATGGGATGTGCTGGTTCTGGCCAGGATCTCCAACAGAGAGAGGACAAAGAAGGACCATCAACTCCACACAAGCCTATGTGCCTTGAAAACTGCTGACCTGCAACTCATCTCTTCTGTTTCAGCCTGCATTAAGGCATCAGAGCTCTGATGCCCCTGTTTGCCACAACACTCTACTGAAGATGCTTCAAACTGTCTCATTATCTGATCAAAGCACCTTGTGCAGCTATTCCCTCTGCTCATGGAAAGCAGCCCGTGCTGCTGGAGCTGCTGTCTGTCACAAGAAGGAAAGGACTGTCTTGTGGTTTGGCTTCAATTGCAGTCATTCTGGGGGGCTTGCTGTGCTCTTCTATGGAGGGTGGAAAGCTTGAAAGGACTTGAGTTCTTGAAAGAGGTGATTTTTTTTTTTTTAACCTTGAAAATTCTTCATTCAATCAAAAAGCTGCTCCCATCTCTCTCTGCTGCAGGAACTGTTGCGTGAAGATAAAGTCAGGTCTTATTGTTGTCGAGCTGCATCTCAGGAGACTGAGCATTCGCTCAGAATTAAAAGCAGGCAAGGAGCACCAAGCAGCACAGCAGATTTGTCAAGCCTTTCCTTCCCCCTCCCCGCCCCCCCCCGGCCTGTTTCGGTTTATATTAACCGCCGTATAGGCATTTCCAAGGGATTTGTGCCTGGCTGGAGTAGGTAGCCCGAAGCGTTTCAGCCAGCTGGTCCCTAATCCACAGGAAATGCCCGGTGTCTCCATCCCGACTGCTTGCACCAGCGGCTGGGAGCGGAGAATTGCTCCGCTTGCAGCTTTCCCGTCTGCCAGCAGATGGCACAGCTCATTTGAATAAATTTGGAGCAGGAAGGAGTAGCCGTGGACATTGCGGTTTCTTTCTTAGAAGTTCTGATTTTTCGGTTTCAGACATGAACAAGAAACCACACTGAAGGTTATGATTAAAAACCCCAGAGGTTTCTGCAGAAGAAAGTGTCACTTTGTCATGCACCCCAGCACGCTAAAGACAGTACAAGGGCTTTTTCTTATAAAAATGTTTCTCTCTCAGCCTTACCCTTGTTCAAGGAATATTATTTCTTATATGGCATCTTTTAATTTCTCCCTTGCTATGTCTGCTAATTCTGCTGTTCCTCCTTCAGTTGCTTCTGCTGGCAGAGATGGATTCTCAATGGCTTCGCATAACTCCCTTGTCAGGTTTTTCCAACACAGGGATGTGGTTTTCACACAGTTTTCCGCCAAGGCTGCTGGCTGTTAGCTCACACACCAGAGATTTACGCAGTCAGCTGGGGCCAGCCTGAGTTCATTCTCCACTGCCGGTTGGAGGAACAGCTTGAAGTTGGTAAAAACTGTTACGAACGTGCAAGCGCTGCCAAATCGAGCTGTGCTCATGACAGACATGGTCTTTAACTCCCAGGGGCACTGAGGGTAGTATTTGTGTATCCTCCTGGCCAAAAGCTTTAAGGAGGGCCAGCATTATAAGGCGTTGTAAAGTTACATGCATTGGATCATATGTAATCTGGAAGCCTGATGCCAGAATTAACTCACTGTTCCCACTCTGCGTACAGCCACAGTGGAATTGGGGAGGCACGTTCACTTGCAGCATCTTTGTCTGAAGCATTTTTCTACACAGAGCTTATATTACAGTTGGACTCAATCATCTTGGAGGCATTTACCAACTTTAATGATTTTGTGATTCTGTGTCACATGTGAGAACAGCAGCATATTCAAATGTACAGAAAATGCAACCCATTTCCCAGCCAAAAGTCCCAGCAAACTGAGATACCTGTCAGGTATCACCAAAAGCACAGAAAAAAGAATTCACAGGGGTACTTCATGTTTTGAACACTGTTCAGATATATCTTGTGATATAACCAAGTCAGTAAATGTGATCCAGAACAGGGGATGAGTGGAGAGAAGGAATAGTACAGCAAGGGAGCAGGGCGATAAACCAAGGGCTGTCATAGAACATGTAGAATAATTCATTCCAATTCACACAATGATAATTGTGGAGCATTTCTTTAAACATCCATCACCCAAATGAAGTGTTCCAACTCTGTGTGATAGAAGTTGTTAACATAAAAATGCAGACAGGGTTCTCTGCAACTGGTATTCAAACTGATACCACTTTGCATTGGTGTCAGTATGAGTGGATTCCTAACCTGTGAATCATTAACATACACCTTGGGATAGTTTTGCATGATACCTTTTTATTAATCATGATCATCTGTTCTTAATTGAGTCTTTCTAAATACCCAATAGCTCACTGGCCTCCCTGAAATTTCTGTGTTTTGGGAAGATCTCTCAAGTGCAGGTCACCAGCACACAGTTTTGTCTACAAATGCACAAAGTGCTTCTAACCCAGGAGAGTTTTGCAGGTGAGACTCTGGCTCTCACGCAGTGTAAATTGATATGGCTCCAGTGCACTGAATAAGGCGATGCCGGCTGAGGCCAGCACAGAACTGGTCTCTCCGTCCTTCCCTGCTCTCAGCCCCATCATGCACACTGCGCTGGCAGAGATGGGCAAGCTGATCTGAGCATAGCCTCTCTCTGCAGAGATTGCCCAGCACTGGAATAGGATCAAGCTCTTCCTTTGGGTAGTGAGAAGGTAGAAAAATCTTCCTATGTAGCCTTTGCATTTCACTGGCAGCAAAACAAAGCTGTTGAGAAAATACATTCTTTACAAATGACTGACTTGTTCTGTAAGGGGTTATTCCCCTACTTTACGCATTCACAAAGATGATAAACAACATATGGCTTAACTGGGCTGTCCCCATCTTGAAAAGAGGTGTTGCTCCTACCTCCCAGAGGCACTGCAAGTTGCAATTACTGCTCTGAAGTGATGCAAGATCCCTGCTCGAGCGACATTATATAAAGGTTGTTGTTGTGTGACATACAGTAGCACATCCAGCCAGCATGGAGTTGTTATTGCACCAGCTACAGCACAAACACATAAGGAGGGACCATCCCTGCCCACAGAGGTTGGACAGGCAGGGAAGCTGAGGCAGGGATGACTGAATGTGCCCGAGCAGGTTTGGGGCAGAGCTGTTGTATAGAGACAGGTCTTAGAAATTCATCCCTAGCAAATTGTTGTGTTTTCCACATGAGCATGGGCTAAGAGGACTCAGCTTTTTGGGTGCCATGCCCAAGTTTTGCTTTAAAGGGTGCAGTGCATAAAGGTTAGAGCATAACCCAACTGAAAGGGCTGTGGAGAGATGTTTTATTACTGAGCTGGAGAGGAGAGGATCAGGCTTTGAAATGTACAGTGTTTCTAGATCTAAAAGTTGATAGTGAATCTCAGCCAGGGTATAATACACTGTAATACAAAACCTGGCTTGTCTGCATGAGACTCCAATGGCAGTCAAATCCCCTTTCAGTGGCCACTGCTCCATTACTTAAAAATCAATAATAAAATACGAAGCTTTTATTGATTCCCCTCGTGGCTTTTTATTGCTATTTTTTTTCTCCAGGAGAGTTTTTGGCATCACTGGTGTTTAGCTGTTTCTTGCTCAACCTCTTTGTTTTCCTATGGCACCTTCATCTCAGGCACAAGCCCCTGAGCACAGAGAGGCTAAAGCCAGCCTCGCTCTTCCGAGGTGAGAAGGACCTTTTCCACCAAGAGAGAGGAAGGGTCCTGGGGTAATGAAACCTTACGGCGGAGAGGTTTGGGAGGAGCTGTACTTTTTAATTAAGGAAACGTTGCGCTGTTAGAGATCACCTGCTGATCTCTAACACGAGATAAAGTTTCTCTGTAGGCGGTGTATGAGTGTGGGGGGACAGGGACGAGCGGCAGCCCCTCGGGAGCGGCGTGGGGCCGGGCAGCCCCTGTCCCCGCGGGGTTTGTGTCTTTAACACGGCTGGCGGGGCGCCGGGCGGGCGGAGGCGTGGTGAGCCGGGAAGGAGCCAGTTTCCTGCTTCCCCGCTCGCAGCCGAGCGGCCGCGGCGGCGGGGGGAGGCGCTCGCCGCCCCCCATCCATCCTTCCATCTCTCCCTCCCTTTCTCCCTCCCTCCCTCCACCCATCCATCCAGCCATCCATCCATCCGTCCGCTCACCCACCCACCCAGCCACCCCCGCCCGCCCTCCATGGGCCGGCGCGGCCGGCGCTGAGCGCCGGGAGGCAGCGCCCGGCGGCGCCCGGCTGCCGCGATGAGCGGCGGGGAGGTGGTGTGCTCGGGCTGGCTCCGAAAGTCGCCGCCGGAGAAGAAGTTACGGAGATACGTAAGTCTCTGCCCACCCCACCTCATCCTTACCCCGGCCCCGGGAAAGCCGGGATCCATCCCCCCCGCCTCCATCCCCGCTCCTCCGCCGCCAGCCCGGGTGCACCTGCCGCCGCCTCTCCCGGCGCCGCGGAGGCTCGGCTGGGCGGGGGTGCCCCTTGCCCGGGCGGGGAACGAACGCTTCTGGCTCCCCGCCTCTCGGGGAAGGCGGGTGGGAGCATCTCCGGGCCCCCGGCTTGCTCCCTGCCCCGGGCTGGTGGGATGGGCGGTGACGGCCGCGGCCGGAGCGGACACTCGGCGCTGGGGCCGCTCGGGCTGCGCCCCGCGGTGGCCGGGCTCACCCGGGACCTGCGACGGTCACACCCCCGCCTTTGAAGTCGTCTGTTTTAGGGGAGGCTGGGAGTACCTTGTCCCAAAGAGTAAAGGTACTAACGCATCTTGGATCTCCCCCAACATTCCCATAATAGTCGCTCTCCCCCATCCCGTGCAGGGTTCCTATTAATCATTGAACGTCCGAACCCTTTGAAGATAGCACCAGTAGCGCTTCGATAGCCTTTGTGTCGTTAGCGGCTGAGATCAAACACTTCAAAGAAGTTGTAAAAAGAGGGTCCAAATGCCAGCTCTGGCACATTCCCCACTCATTGAAAGAAATAACTGTTCTTTGCGTCCTCCTCCTGACGCTCCTGCCATGTGCCACGAGCATTAGCGCTCAGAATCGTGCTGCCGTCCTATGACTGGGCACATAGCTGGGGATGTCCAGGGTCCCACTCCCTGACACCAATGACCAGCCTCAGCCAGCCTTCAGATGACTGGAATGCAGCCTCTGGGAGGGAGCTGGATACTCTCCCTTCCTGGGGGGACACCAGCCAGATCATCCTTTGGTCCTGTTGCTTTTGCCTGCGTGCATTTGGGGAATGGCAGGCAGAATAAGTGCAGCTGGTGTCTCCCCAGTGCCTGTTATTGATTGATGGAAGCATCACTGTCTACCCTTGAGAGGGAGATGGATGTCTGTAGTCCCGTACTGCAGGCTAGAGCAGGACTGGGGTTGTGTCTGATTTGTGATAGAGTGTTACTAACCTTGCCCAAAATGGATTCAGCCCCATAGACATCAGTGGTACCACATCCCTTTGCATTAGACTGTGTGTCCAGTTGCTCTTGGCAATTCTTTCCTTGTGTGCCGTATGCTCTTCCAGGGAATATCAGGTTGGCACAGGGCTGAGGGGTGGAACTGCTGGGGAATCCAGTAAGGTAAACCTGAGTGTTTATGTGGGAAGTATCAACCCCCTAATGAACGTAGGTAGGCTTTGTGGGAGGTGGACAGAATGACTTTGTGCGTGCTGAACTGTGGAGGATGCTTTTAGCTTAATGGAGCAAAGCACCTTCCTCCCGCAGAAATCAACTAATTGCTGATCCTGAGTCACCAATGGCCTTAACTCATCAAACATCATTAGCTCCCCATCATCTGCCCCATGAAAGGGCGCTCACATCACTGTCTGAATATCCAGCTTGTGCTCTGGCATTCCAGCAAGAGCTGAATAAATCTGCTAAATGCTCTACATGGAGGGTGTGACATGCCGGCGGTTAGTGCTAATTATCGATGTGCATAAGAGTGCTTTTCATCCACATACATCCCAAAGAGCTTTGCAAGCCACCTATGTTTTCAAAACATCCTCATTGCCCCAAGAGGAAATGCAGCCATGCTGAGATGTGCCCGGCCATCCCACGCAGCCTCGGCGGGGCAGGAAGCGATGCTTGGCAGATGTCACTCGAGGGGATCTCTGCGCTGAAGCGGTCCCGGCGCTGTGGTCAGTGGGACTTCCCTTCCAGTCACACCAGTTGCACCAGCTTCCTGCATCAGTGGCTGGATTTGAAAGTGTTGGCCTTTAGCTAGGACTGTGTTTCACTTGGTGGTGCCTCGTCCCTTTGCTTTTTCATGCATTATTATTGATACTGTGTTTATGTAGCTGTGGTGTGCATTTAGGGTGTTGGTGTGTGGATCAGGCTCTCTTCGAGTGTAGCTCAGAGCAGCTTGCTTGTCCAGAGCCGTGGACAAGCAAGCTGCTTGTCTGAGGGTGATGGCTTTCGTCCTGTAAAACCTGCCTTTGTCCACAATAAACCCACATGGTTGGACTTTGGTTTTCATGCACAAAAGACGGTTTATGCCGGCTTTTGTATGGCCTCAAAGGGAAGGTGCTGAATCGCTGGCTTTGCCACTTTACTTATGTCTTCAGTTTATGTTCTGCTTTGAGATCTCAGAGGAGAAATCTCAGGCTGCAGGATGCTGCTAATGGGGTTTGAAGTTCCTGCTCTGGCTGTATTGACCCAGGGGAGAGGATAGATTTATTTTTCCTTTGACAAGTGCATTTCAAATGTATGTGTCTGCACATGGGTGTGTTGCTAACGCTGTCCTTGAAGTGCTGTGCTTTTATAAGCCTGGTTTTGTTTTGCTTTTATTTTTCAAGGAGATCTGTGGCAAGAAAGGAAAGTACTAAATTTTCTCTCTGACTTCCACCTAGGGTGGTTGAGAAAGGGGACTCTTCTCCACACCTGATCTGTGCAGCGTTAATCTGCATTTACAGCAGTGCCTGCTCTGTTTCACTTCAGAGGATTGTGTTTATGTGAGATTGTGGGACCTATTTGTACAACGCTCTGGGAAATGCCAGTGTTGTGAGTTTCTCTTCTGTTGAGGGACATTAAAATGATCAAACGATGACTGCTTAAAGGTTGAGACAAAGTGTGCCTTTTTTCAGCCTCATAACTGCAGACAGGGGTTCATGTAGACTCTGGGCAGTTTGGCTGTAAATGCTACTGTAATATTGATAATAAAAGCTAAGCAAACAATTGAAGGTCAAAAGTAATTGAAGTACCAAAATATCTCTTTTCACCTCTGCTCTGCTCGGGACATCAAGCTCCCTCGTCCTCATGCTTAATTGCTTTTTTTCAGACAAACATTTCTTGTACATTCATTGAATGGTTTGGGTTGGAAGAGAGGTTTAAATTCATCTATCCCAATCCCCTGGCAATAAACAGGGACATCTTCACCTAGACCAGGTTCCTCAGAGCTCTGCCCAGACTGGCCTTGTATGTTTATAGGGATGGAGCATCCACCACCTCTCTGGGAAATCTGTGCCAGTGGCTCACCACCCCCATTTAAAAAAATTTTCTTCCTCATATCTGGTCTGAATCTACCCTCTTTCAGTTTAAAACCATTGTCCCATGTCCTGTTGCTCCAGACCCTGTTAAAAAGCCTGCTCCTACCTTTTGCCTCTCTGACTTTCATGCATGAAAGGGTCTCCTTGTACACAGCCACAAAGCACAGAACTGTCTTTTAATTCTCCTCCTGGCTCCTCCTTAAAGCACATGTGAAAAAAAATTAAAAAAAAAAACCAATCCCTAAACAAAACCCTGGGCTTTAGTTGTGTGACCAGCCAGCCGAGACCAGTGCATGTTGTGCTGGTCCTGTACTGACTCACTGTCTCCTGGTCCTCTCCTGCTGGACGTGCCTGTCTGTTGTCTCCTGTGTGAGACGTGGGTTTGGAGCAGTGTTTTTTGTCTGTCCGCTGCCCGGCACGATGGGCTCAGGGCTGGACTGTCTGGCAGGGAAGCACTGTGAAAAACAAGTGCTGTCGTAGAGCAGCTCAGCTCCCTATCGTTAGATCAGTGTGTTCTGCCTGCTCATTTATGTACCATGAAGTCAGAGTATTTTCTGTCTGGCTGAGATGTATGTCTGCAGTTCTCACTAAAACGAAAGCTTCTCATCGTGTGCCGGTTGTACAGTCCTCTAGTGCTTTGGGTTTTGGTTTTTTTTCCTCCCAGCTGGTTTATCTGGGTTTGTCCTTGTGCATCAGTTTCATTCTTACATCAAGCAAAACCAGTTTAATCAAGGTCATTGGAAGAGCTTCTCCTCTCTGATGAGACAAGCGAGAAGAGGTTAAAGGGCTGATTTACTGATTGCAGCCCTGTTCCTAGGGGCAACTCCCTGATGAAGGGCTTATTTTGGTTCCTGAAGTAGATCCTTCATATCCCACCTCAAAATGCATTGTAAGGATGTCCTCCTTAAATGAGAATGTGGGATATGGACTGAAGTAGGACCATTAGTGCAGGGTTATCATAGGCTGTGAAGTAGTGGAGATGCCAGGTGGAGTTTGGCACAGTGCTGATTGGGATGAAATTTTATAGGAGGGAGAAGAAAGAACATCTCTTTATTCTGCAGCAAAGAACAAAAGATAGGTATTGTGCAAAATTATCTCCTTTTCTCTGTCTTCTCTCTAAGGAGTTTTAATCAGTCACTCCCATGCTCAGCTGTGCCATGCCTCATTCGGGATGCTCTACCCATTAACAAAAATAGGAAACAGTTGCAGACATGCCAGAGAAAAGCACCAAAAATTGAGCAAAGATACAGAAAACAGAAAGACTGAAAGAAATGGGGTTGTATGGGGATGAGAGGGCTGAGAAGAGAAATAACTGTCCTGGAGCATGCCAAAGGTGGCTGTGAAGGGGAAGGGAGTAAACTGTTCTACATGGCTGGTGATTGGAGGCCAAGAAGTGCTGAGCTTGAGCTGCAGCAAGGGAAACAAGTGTAGGAAAAACTTCCTAACCTCTGATTGCCAGAGGAGTGGAGCAGTGGAACAGATGGTTTGGGATGGGCTTGGAGTCTCCATCATGGCAGTTCTGAAGTGCAGGTTGGCCAAACTCCACCTCAGAGAGCTGAATCTGTTTAGAAGCAGTGGAATAAATTTGACAAATTCTCCAGAAGTTCCTTCCAGTGCTGGTTTGGATGAATTTATGGGTTTTGAGCCTGGATGCAGGGAGGGGTAGCTAAGAGGCTTAAGGGCACTGATTATGTCACCTGGATCTCCTGATGGGACTCAGGGAAGTCCTCTGACAAGTTCTTTGTAGAAAGTTTTGATTGCACTGAAACTCCATGAGTTTGCACTTATTCCATCTGTCAAACTGCCTTGCTGCACCCTGCTCCTCCCATGTAATCTCCCAGCTTGATCC